TGTTTTTTTTTTTTTTGTTGTTTTTGAGAGAGAGAGATTAGCATCTAGACCGCCAACTCTATTCTGTCTTCTAATTATACAAAAATACTTTTTTTTTTTTTTATAAAAAATTTGTTTATATTATTTTACATAAAATATCAATAATAATGACAGTAGGAGAAAACATTGAATTAAACATAGTGTTTATAATTCTGAAATGCAAAAGAACTTATGTTGTATGATGAAATCATTATGAAACTCCTTTATGCTGTATATACATTAATACTGATGAATGTAATTATGTATGTTAAACACTGTCACCATAACCATATGCACATTTGAACTAATAGATTGTTTCTGTCAACTCTGAGGTGGATTACATGAACTAGACTAACTATTTGACACAAGGCTAACTCTTATGGCTTTTAAACATGAAAAATCATTGTATTTGTGTGCAGGTGAATTTAAGATTACTGTCAAATGTGATTAAAGCCATTCTGTTCAAGTTTCCCAGATACTTAATTATATATAGGTGTTTGATGGTGCTGCCTATACTTTAATGAGCCTTTGACATGTATACAACCTTCAATCTTCTGTTAATTTGTCATTTGCAAATTTTATATAACCTTTTAAATGAAATAAGGGAATGTAATAAATGTTTCTCTTTCAAATTAAAATTGTTTCTCCAACACTTTATTTTGAAATTCGTAATCATAGTAAACTTGAACGTGTACAAAATCTTTTTTGAATAACAGTAATTTCAGCTGTTTCAACCCCGAATCAATTAGCATACAACTGGCATGGTTGTTCCTGGATGGGCCTTTAGAGAGGTGTGTGCTGCTGAATTGCATGAAATACTGAATTTGACTGCAACCTTTACCCCTCATGTAGCACATTATCAGGTGAGTGAGAATTACCCTCCCTTTCATTCCATTACAACAGCGTCAAAGTTCAGTTCAGTCCCTTAACACTGATCAGTCTTGAAGAGGATTTATCAGATTATGCTCAAATCATGAATTTTTGCCTATGATGAAAGTCTGTGACTAGCACTGACTGTGCTTAAGTGTTGAAAACAAACCTTGACAAAGGGTAAGTGAATTCTAAATCTATTGCATGCTGTGCATCATAATATGACAAACAAATGTAATACTTTTTACAAGTTGCAAGAAATAGTTGCAGGATATACAAATGGCAACATTTAAGAAACAAAAAATGCAAGTTATGCAAAAAACAAAAGGAAGTTTATGCTATTTTGAATTGTCTGCAGAGATGTGTAATATTATAGTTTAATTGTTTATATGTTTTAAACTAGATTAAACAAATGTCTGTTTCACCGAATTACATGGATATAAAATATTTTTCAATATAATAGCATCATAGCTTTAAGACTCTACTAAGATGATGTTCTACAGTATAACATATTAAAAGTAACAAAACAAATAGCTGAAATGTAACATCTGATTTAAGTAATCTGTAATTCTTGATCCCATCCTATTCAATTTATCACCTGATTTGGAAATGCTAGGTATTTTTATGATCCTTTAAAATATGTCTGTAAAGTCAGACTCAGAGCATAATTACACTGTCAGCAGGAGAGGCATGATTGCCTTGATACTTTCACTTCCTCATAAACATTAGAGAACAAAGCAGATTTAAAAATGGAAAATGATTTATCTTGAGTCATATTTAACTTTCACAATGACATTTCCTTGGTACTATCCTCTTTTATTTTAACTTCCCAAAAAAGCTCAAAAATCGAAACGTAAAGGCCTCGCTATTCATGTGTATGGCTTAATGTTTAAACTCATCTTAAGCAGCTATTTATTGTAAATGAACAATCTCTAGTGCAGCATTTGAGATGGCTGAATTTTTCTTTATGTGTGTGTGTCTTTGAAACAGTTACATGCATTTTTCATATGTTGTTTTCAGAGACTAACACAGTCAGGAGATGTCTAAACAGGGAGATGGAGAAGAGTCAGATGGCCGGTTCCGAGAGCTTCAGGAACAGCGGATGACGGTGCAGAAGAAGACCTACACAAAATGGATGAACAGTGTCTTTTCAAAGAATGGGGTACGAATACATCCTTCCAAAGCCTTGCTGCTCAGTGCTAGTTCAGGCAACAAGATCCACAATCAGTGACACAACTAAGCACCGATAAAACTTAAACTAAAAGCTTACATTTCAAATGTGTCATGATCAATCCTTTTCCAATAGTAATTATATTGCTATGGCTATCTATCTATCTATCTATCTATCTTTAAATATATAAATAATCCACTTCATTTAATCAGTGGTATCTGCTTGTGGTGAAGCAATTTGATTACACAAAAATTCATGATTCACGACAAGATATCACGGTAACTCTGATGATGTAATATAATCCTGACTCCATTCTTGTGATTTACTTGAGTTTATGATATAATATGCTCAGCATGATTACCTCTAGTTGTGAACCCTTGAACCTATGTAAGGTCATAATTATTTGATCATTGTCCATTACATTACCATCTACATACTTTATGTACTTGTCTCATGATAAGTGGACAGCTAGTTTACTTGCTTATTTAAACAAGTTAGCCCACTGTTTTTCATATATACATACTCAAAGACTGAGTTTAATAATAATGATGAAAGAAAATGGCAGGTACGCGTAAAGGGAAACCCAATATTGAATTTTTATTCACTGTTATGCAAACATTTTGTGACAGATCAGCACTGGGGAGGGAAAAGCACAGATGATTTACCTTGTATTACATCAACATCACCAATTTTAGATTTAGGAAGGAAATAGTACCGCCTTGACTGTCATCACATAATGTTTTTATACCTGATATTTCCACTGTATATGTCTCCCTTTGAGTGTTATATTTAACAGTGGTTACATATGACCTCCTCTCGTACTTACTGCCATTGTTGTGTGAACCAACTGAGAGATTTCACTTACATAATAAACACTAACAGCAAGATGTTAAAAACAGACAAGTGGTGCTACAATGACCTTCCTCGGCTTGTTAGGGCACACAAATATATTAATAGTTGTACACAGGCAGCTGTCCGGTAGAATGACATGCTTTAAACGTTTCCCTTTCCTTTTCCCCTTCCTCGGTTTCTCCTGTGTATTGTTCTGTATCAGACAACACCGTTCACCGTAAACATGTTTATTATAAAAAGTCACACTGCTCATTAAATAACTAAATATTGCTTTCTGAGAAAATCTACTCTACCCAAACACATAGCATTTCTTTTAGTGCATCAGTTACATGCAAGTTAGCAAGATACCATTGTTCTTGCTTTTAAAAGCAATTATGAACGCTGCAAAGAAGTATACAGTAATTGCAAGCAGATTTTATTTTTTTATCTTTGCTCTTGAGTGATGAACTACATGTCTGAAGATCTACCAGAGGAGCAGGGTGTGCTCTAAGCTCCCTCGGTTCATTCCCTGGGTAAGCAGATCGGTTGAGAGACATCAGATTCCCACAAAACATGGATTAGGGAGTGGTTGCAAGTCTCTTGCTTGAAAGCTGAGAGCAGGACGGCTTTACTGAGAGGAGTGTGAGTGAGTCACGTCATAGTGGAATACAGTGGCAGTTAGCCAAACACAGTGGTAAAACAAAGCCAGCTGCTGATTTCATGCCTAAACTGCATATGATGCATAAAACAAATGCAGTTATAGGATATAAGAACATGTATGTCACTGTCAACTGACACAGACTACCTGCAAGATTACTTGTAAGTTGATGTCTTCACACTTTATGATTATTTGGTTGCATAAACTGGGTGTGTTGGAAATGTGTGTAATTATATTTGAATGTGCATTCACTTTAAAGGAAAAGGTTGACTTGACTGATGTGTATACTGAACTAAGAACTGGTGTGCATCTCGTGCGACTTTTGGAGCTCATCTCCGGGGAGAAACTGCCCACTTCCAGTCGACGCAGCCTAAGAGTCCACAGTCTAGAAAACAACAGCATTGCCATTAATTTCCTTAAAACCAAGGTACACTCAAAGAAGTACAACCTGCAAATATCAAATTAGAATAGCTTTTAAAAAGTATTATTTCAACAATGTTACTTCTTAAAAGTGAACTGTGGATAAACCGATACAATAAGTTATGTACTTATAATTGTAGGTCATCTTTTTTCCCTCTGTTCATCTTCTTATAGATCAGAGTAGATCTGATTGGTCCGGAAAATATTGTGGATGGAGACAGAACCCTGATCCTGGGCTTAATTTGGATCATCATTCTCCTCTTCCAGATTGGAGCCATCAATATTGTTGAGGTAAGGCCTTAAGATTGGCCCCTGTGCTTATCACTGTTTAAATTCTGTTTTGGTTTCAGGTCAGTGGCGCTCAGCCAAAGAAGCTCTACTGATATGGTGTCAGCATAAGACCGCCGGTTACGCCAATGTAAATGTGCAAGACTTCTCAAGCAGCTGGAGAGATGGACTGGCCTTCAATGCTCTTATTCATGCCCATTGGTAATACTTATAGTGGATAGCATTCTCTTTTGATAAGGAACATAATTTGACTGTTTCCTTTCCACTACTTCAATCTCATGGAGTTATGATAACACTGTTCCAGGCCTGATCTTTTTGACTACAACCGACTACGGCAAGATGATCCAATGAGGAACCTCACCCATGCTTCACTCTGGCAGAGGATGAGTTTGGTATAATGCAGCTCCTGGATGTGGAAGATGTCATGGTGCCCCATCCCGACGAGAAGTCTATCATGACTTAAGTCTCCCTTTACTACCACTACTTCTCCAAAATGAAGCAGGGTCAGACTATCCAGAAGAGGATAGCTAAGGTTAGTTAGCAAACGTGTGTAGTTTTAAGTAATGTAAAATGCAAGGGTAAGAATTGCTATTACTATACATCTCTTTAAAGTTGTGATGTAATGGAAGAAGCAACAGAACCTTTATTCTGTATTGTGGTGTACATCCAAGTGAAATAGATTATCGTGAAGAAAAAAGTGTAGAGCGAGGGCATCAGTTGTTGGTTGGATGGAGGCAGATCCGAATGGAAACTTGCAGTCGAATGTAAGAAAGGGGCAGGGTTTATGCAGACAGAACACACCAGAGAGATGTCTCATTTCAAAGTTTGGATGAATTGTTCACAATAAGATCAATAACATGCATTTAGAAAATAGATATGGTGAATTCCCATTTCTTGAGTAGACCTCTAACCCTAAATATTAAACTTTGCCTTGTAGTTTGTTGAGAAGAGGTGTTCAATTACTTTTCTAAGCAATCAGGCTTATGATTTTTACCTGGTGATAATACAGGCAAAAAAATTCCATAAACTTATATTGATTGAGTGGCCTGTGCCATATACCGTATATATATATATATATATATATATATATTTGGCAATTTGCTTAACTAAGTAATAGCAGTAGCAATACTATGAACTGCACTAATGCCAAAACAGTTATTAGTGATATAAGATTTCTTTCCTTGTTATTTAGTGTGTTTCTAGACTGGGCTTGGAATTGATGTGATTATTATAACAAAGATATACACTTTTTGCTTTGGTCCATTGGGACAAAGCAACGTCACAGGAGCACGCAAAGGTTTTTTTGTGAAATGTTAAGCACTGGTGCCCTCTGTTTGAGAAAGTATGAACTGTAGCTACTGCGGTGTTGAATCAGGACTCTAATCTCAAACTCTTTAGGATTAGTGGATTTGACTGTGGGTCAAAAAGAGGAGCCCTGGTCTTAATCAGATCAGTATAAACTCTGGGCTGTAAATGCTGCTAAACAAGAAAGTTAGTTGTCTGCACTGCATAGTCAACATAGCCTTTTGGATCATGCTGACAATATGGAGGAAGTCATCCTCAGATAGGCTACTCTTTGACAAACAGGAGGATTTGATCCAGCAAAGATGAGCTCAGAGGTCAGGCGATGCTATTAACATGCTGGCAGGATACACATGGAGAGAAACAGGGGCGTGAATTGTCCTGTTCTGCCTGTGCAGTATGACACTTTCACTCACCACCATGTCCACAAGTGTGAATAGAAATACCGTTATGTGTTGACTGGGTCACAGCTGTGGAGAAGTGTTAGCTGTCACAAAAGTGTATTAAACAATGACAGACAGATCTCGTTGAATGGATGGATGGGACTAAGATAAGCCCAGCCAGGCTCTGAGATGTCAAGACTCTGAGTTCATTTTATGGTAAGACTGCCAAGCTCTCAGGTGTGATGCTGTTGGGACACTAGATGACAATGACTTTCAGTGGCTGTTTCAGCAGTCAGTGGTTGCGATGGCAGAACATGAGACAAACCATTATTGAGGCGCAGAGGAGTGTTCCAGAAGTGGGAAAGGTGTGTATTAAGTAGATAGATGTCTGTGTAGCTGCTGAACAAAAGCATGCTCCCAAATCACCCATCCTTCAAAGAAATACAACTTGTGATGTTGCTTAATGTTTATAGTAGTACTGTCCTGCTGTTAGACCAAATCTGCGCTTCTGAATTTCATACATCTGCTTCAACATCAGTGTTTTCCAAAATCTATAGTTTATCTCTGCCTGCAGATTGTGGACCTTCTGAAAGAGCTGGATGATATGAAGGGCATGTATGAAAGCATGGTGTCTGACTTACTACGCTGGATCAAGACCAAGGTTGAGGAGCTCAATGACCGTTCTTTCCCCAACTCCCTGTGAGAAATGCAGCATCTGGTTTCTGCCTTCAAGATGTACCGCACTATTGAGAAGCCTCCCAAGTACCAGGAACGAGGGGCTATCGAGGCCCACCTCTTCAACTTGCGAACCAAGCTAAGAGGAAACAATCAGTGGGACTATATTCCTCTGGAAGGCAAGACCTTGGGGGATATCGAAAGGAACTGGACCTTGCTAGAGCGAGCAGAACACCAGCGAGAGCGGGACCTCCAGAGTGCGCTGATGAGGCTGGAGCAGCTGGAACAGTTGGCCCAGAAGTTTGGCCATAAGGCTACGCTGAGGGAGAGCTACCTGGAGGACATTCTGCAACTGATCCAACAACAGGACCTGGAAGGGCTGCAGAGACTGGAGGAGGCTGAGACAGTGGCTCGCAAACTGGAGGCCCTGGGAGCAGATGTGTTGGCTCATGAACCACGTTTCCGCACTTTAAGTGAAATGGCTGTTGTTATAGAAAAAGAGAACTACCACAGCAAGGCGCAAGTGATTTGCAGGTGAGGGGCAAAGAATAGCTGGTAGTTTATAATCACTTACTGATACGGGCTATGGCTGGTTTTCATGTCCTATTATAATGCAGTGGAAAAGACATGTCAAAAATACATTTCTAGTAAAAACATTCCCACTAATGTTGGCACTATAAAATAAAAGTTCCTATTGATGCAGTTGTTTTTGTTTCTTATTGATGATTTTTTGTTTTAATATTGGGCTGTTGCAGCAATGTACCAGTCCTTAATTTTTTTTTTATGTAAAATGCTTATAGTATTTTAGATATGGCTGAACTTAAGGGAAACTAGATTTTTCAACATTTTGTTGATCCTTAGGAATGTGGATGTTGAAAATGACTTTACATTATTAAAGTAAAAAAACATTTTATAGGTGTGGAAGTATTTAGTATCTATCTGTCTGTCTGTATTATTTTTTTTTCCTACAGACATTACCACTGAGAATTATGAACTGAGCATTATCACTTGAGCATAAACTACTTTCTTTCCTAGGCCCTGGCAGATTCCTCTGACTTAGGAAAACAGCTGCAAGAGGTGGTAGCCCTACTGCAAAAGCAGGACTTAATAGACACTCATATCATCTCACTTGGAGAAACCCTGAATGCCATCAGCAGCAGTGCCTTAAAGGTTAAGCACAAAGGTGCCACAAAAGTCAAGAGAGGAATTAAAGATCTTAACGGCCAGTACAACTCTTTACTGGTTCTCAGCAAGAACAGGTAAACTCTATAAACCCTTCTAATTGTACTAAAAGCCATATTTGGGGACATTTGTAAGACTAAGATTTTATTAGTTTCTAAAATGAGTACAACATTTTTACAAAATCTTGTGGCAAGTACCATATACATAAAGACACTTATCTAGAAGCTAAACTGTGCTTTAATAGTTAACCATGAGAAATACAGACAGGATTGTATACACCACAGTTTTACGGTTTTAGAAAAAAAAACTACTGTGCAGCAATAACATGATCTTTTTTTGTGGAAAAAAGGAGAAAAGCTCTGGAGGGACAGCTGAAGCTCTTTGAGCTTTTCCATGATTGTGAATAAGTAGAAGCATGAATCTATGAGAAATGGGTCCTCTTACAGGCAGCATCTCTGGGGAGAGACCTCAGTCAAATTCAGCAAGCCATTCAGAACCACAAGGTATGTGGCCATCAGATACTATAAGAAAAAATATAAAATTGTAGTACTGAAGAAACCCATTACTGCCTAAATTTTTAGATCTATCTCAAAACAGTTATATACTTATCGCTACTTAATGCTCTTTTAAGCACTTCTATAATGGAGAACTGACTAACGTTGCTTAACCTCAATGAGACTGAATCAGAGCTGCTAAGATTGCTTTGTTATGTTGCAGGCTTTAGAGGCAGAGATTCAGTCTCAGGAATCAATGTGCTCTGGGGTTTTATCCAGAGGCCAAGAGCTGTGCAGGGGGAAACACCCTAATGAGAGAGACATCCAAAAGTGGATTCGGACTCTTCAGAAACCTTAAAGAACAAGTCACCATCCGAAAAAACAGGCTGCATGCAGCCAATGTCATCAAGCAGGTATGTACATATATATATATTAATGCAAAGTGAGAAATTATGATTCAGTAGATCAAGCAGTGGTTGGGATAAAAATGTTCCAAGTGCCATTCTTCCTTTCCCTCAGTATTTTGCAGACATTACCGAAGCCAGCTCGTGGCTTGATGACCGCAAACCACTTCTCATTGATGAGGATTATGGAAAGGATTAGGCCAGCATTACTGCTCTGCTCCAGCGTCACCAAAGACTGGAGAAAGAAATGTAAGCATATGCCTCAGAAGTTAAACGACTCGGCGAGCAGGCCAAGAGTGCTGCCCAACTTGCTCCTCTTACTGTGAATCACAACTAAAATAATCCATTATGTACAAAAGAAAAAAAATACAAATTATTTTGCAATACAATTACAGCACTTAGTCTGTCTGAATAATCTTCTAATGTTGCTTCAGGAAAGGTAAAGGTGAAAAACAGTTTATCCATGAAATAAATGTGAATCATTGCTAGCATAAAACAGAAATTACTGCATAATTTAATGGATAAAGCTTCAATGGCACTGACATTTTTTAATCAATTTAAGACTGAAACCCAGCCGAGTAGAATGGTACACTACAGTGATTCATCAGATGGTGAAGATGAGATGGATAAAAAAGATGACAAAGAAGGAAAAGTCATTAGCAAGGCTTTACCACAAGAACAAGCAAAGATTAGGTTCAGATACAGAGGTAAACAGCATCCTTTAATGCTAAAAAATGATAAAGTTTGTGTGTACAATGAAACAGTTTCTTTTTCTCTTCTCATCTTGACCATTTTCAGGTCCTATATTAACCTGGGACAGAGGAGAAACATTGACAATTGTCAGCAGGGAAAAAGATGATAAGTTGCATCTTCGAGACAGCAGAGGAAATGAGCAACTAGTATCTTCCACATTCATCACAAAGATGCCATCTTCTGTAAGACTTTTTATCAATTTCAAAATCTACTTGAGTTTCAGATCTTATGAGCCATAAAACTTCTATTTAAATTGCATCTACTAGACAGCTTTTGCTTGTGTTTTGATGCAATTAAATGCAGAAAGCACCACCTGAACCTACGAATGGAGAACCTGAGAGTCCAAAAAAGAAAGTGAGCCGACCTCGT